TATGATCTGCTGATTAACTAGACAAGTGGTGTACTTCATGGGTACCATAATAGTTAACACCTGTTTCAACTGGTTTATATTTGTATTGGATGGAACCTTGGCAATCCAATATATCTTGAAAAGCAAAAATCTAATACCAAATATTTCATGGTATGGAAGAAATTGCAATAAACAGAGTTCAGCTTAAAATATAAAATGCTTATTATGCACATTCACATAGCCCTTCTGAAGCCGTTACCAGTTTGTGTAAAAGTAATCCTAGTTTTTGTGAAGGTCAGTTAAGTGATTATTCAGTGTCATAAAATAAATACTGTGTCTAAGAAAACTATTTCCTGAGTAGCAGAGGTTGGCAGAAGTGAATCAATTTAAGTCATAAGTCAGTACACTGTATTAATTACTATTTGGTTTGTGGCTTCTCTCAAATCTGCTCTGGGGACAGGGACCACTGGCAGAAGAGTGCACTGGTCTCCTCAGCTGGGTAACCAGGAACAGTTTTTCAGAGCTCATCTTGAAATACTGTCACAGCATTTATGCTTTTCTATTTCTCAATAGAGACACTGTTCAACAGTTGTCATTGGACATACTTAGTTTTGTTCAAGGAGTGCTTTTGTTGACTTGGTATCTTTTTTTGGTGTAGAATGTGCTGTTAGAAAGTTAACGGCTCTTCTCCTACTTGGGTCATGTCTGTGGTGCCTAGTCCTTCTGGCAGAGGAGCCTGTGGTACTGGAGGAGGAAAGCTGTAAAAGTATTTTTAAGTTATTTGAAGTGGAATTTAGCAAGCCATTAAATAGCTGCGCTGCACTTGTTGACATAGTATTTCCTAGATCAGGATTAGTGGTGGTAACTTAAGTGCTAGGCGTTAGTGTCACTTTTTACTGTTGTAACTGGTATAGTATTTTGAAATAATTAATTTCACTTAAATTCAGAAAATGCAACACTTTGTCTATTACAATATGAAAGCTTATTTCAAATTTAATGACAAGATGGGCTACATGGTGCCTTCCATGCATCACAGGGACAACACTGCTGGCCTCCTCAGCCTCCCAAAAAAGACTTGTTCTCCTGGGTGTTTGAGAACTTGGAAGTGTATTGCTTTTTGAAGGAAGCTTCATTTCATATTGAAGTTTTAAGTGATGTTAATAAGATTACTAAAATCTGCCATATATGTCAGATCTGAATTTTGGGGGCTTTTCTATGTGGTATTTCAAAGATGAGGCTTGTTTTGAGAATCAGGGTTAATACTCTTGTTTAGAAAAGTTGAGCTTAGGATGCAATGACTTAGTAGACGTTTTTTCCTAAATACAAAGTAATCCTTGCTTTTGTTTCAGTTTATCTGATTTGAGGTAAACCTCAGTAACTTAGTAAACTGCAACTTGTTGTAGTAAACACTGTAAATGGTTTCCATTTTTAATGACTTGTACATAGATTCCATAACTCCAAAATGCTTCTCTTGCTCATTTACCTGGAGAAGATACTGGTTTTGTCTAGTTTCAGCAAAAATCTGTTTAGCCTTTCAATAATGAAAGAAATAGTTAAGTTTCCCCTTGTGTTTGGCTACTGTTACTGTTTCCAGAGGTGCTAGAACTATCTTTCCCTGCCTTGGAGAGGAAGAAAAGCTTCCAGATAATGTGAATAGTAAATGTTTTGCACATTTTGGAAACTTTCTTAAATATAGGTAATTAGACTAAAATGTATGTAATTGTGGTTGGCATCCCAAAATTTGTACACTACTCATGAAATTTAATTTTTCTTAACTGTAGTTTCTCCTCATAGAAATAAGAAAGTAAATTTTAGGAAGCAAGTAGAATAAAAGAGAAGAATAGCTAACCTAAAAGGAAACATAATGCACTGCTTCATATACTTTGTCTTCAAATTTTCAGGCTTTTTTTTTTTTTTTTTTCTTTTATAGTGAAAGACGCCATCCTAAGTGGGACTCACTTCTTTAACCTGCAATTTTGAGCAAATTTTTTTCCATTTTTATTCAGTGCATAATCAAGATGGTAATGACTACATCACCTTGATATACAAAAACTATTTTATATGAAAGATTATCAGAGGCATACCTCTTCGTGGATTAAATAGTGGTGTATCATGGACATGAAATGAAAAAAAATACTAATAGATTGCAGTATGTTTTTAGTTACCTGAAAAACTGGTTTAAGGTACAGAGATTTTAAATGTAAGTGTTTCTTTCCAAAAATGTCATACACTCTTCCCTGCCTTGTCATAGATATCACCAGACCTGTCAAATAGGTTGTCATAAAACATACTGAAAATATACAGTGAAAGACAATATCTTTACAGTATGGTGCTACAACTAAAACTACTGATTATTGACTCAAGATGTTTCAAAGTGCCATTTCCTCCAACTTCACTGTTCTCTGCACTATTTTGTTGTTTGTTTGTTTGTTTGTTGTTTTTGCTTTGGTATTTTTTTCCTGTGAAGCCAGTTTAGGATGTTCTCATTCCCTCTTCTTCCTTACTTTGTGCTTGTTGGAGTCCATCTGTTGTGCCATACAGTTGTTGTTGGGGCCAAGCTGTAAATCAGTTCACCAGAATGATTCCGATTAAAAATAAACCTACAATAAAAAGCTTGGAATTTGCTTTGTCAGCATTCTGTTTAAATGTCCTGCAGAGCATCACTGTTATTATCTGAGCCATCTCTTGTTTGTATTCAGTTTAGAAATATGTAGCTGTAGCTGGAACAAAATCTGCCTATTCTCAAAAACTGCAACTTCAGCCTCACATCTGTCATGTTCTCATCTCCAATTTATCTCCTCTACCTTCTGATTAAAAGCATCTTGGTCCTGTGTTTCACTTGAAATAGCATGGTGGTACTGCTTGTTTCCCAGAAGTGTTTCTTAGCAATTCCTGAATTAATGGAAAACTTGTGAAACAACATGCATCTATGAAGTGGCTGCTGTCAGAAGAAATTGTGTTTTTCTGCAGATATCTGTAGCTTGTAAATCTGAAAAATTGAAATCTTCCCCAGTTGTTTCCTCTGCTTCCAGAAAACCTTGTTCTGGTTAAGGTGCACCAGTTCACTCTTCTAAAAGCACTTGCAGGTTTTGAGGGTGAGGAGGGCTTTGTTTTCTTCTCAGGCTTGTGGAATTGTGGGATCTGGAATTACTCTACAGCAAGATGACTGCTTGACAGGCTTCATTCACTGCCTCTACTCTGACTACACTTGAGTTAAATAACAAACTTCTGAACTGTATGTGATAAAATTCTTGGTGTGCACTTTCTCTATGGTGTTTAAGTGGTGGTGTTGATATTTTGAGAAGTGTGTTTCAAAAGCAGTGCAGTCCTTCTGCAGTGGAAAAAGTCTTCTTGTGTCTCTAGCCTGTATCTGCACAGTTGCATTTGTTCCTAGGTTGAGTTATCTGAGTTAACATTAACTTAAGAGTTTGGAATTGCTTGTGTAAGCGGAAGAGTGGGGAGAAAAAGTATCTGAAACAGTTTTGAAGCCAGGGTAATGATGTAAGCTGAGGATTTGTTTTGTACATGAGCAACACAGAGAAATCATGGTAAAAATGAGTTTCTTCAGTAATCCAGGACCATTCAGGAATCTTCACTGAGGACTTGGAGTTCTGTTTGAAGGCATCCCTTTCTCTAGGGAAAAGGAAATTACCGTCTTCATCATCAGCTTGAGCTGCTGTGTTTTGAATTGATTGCTAGGTCTCATAGCTACATAGATAAGCTACAATGTAAGGTATATGCACTACAGCTTACTAAAAATCTATGATTTTAAGTGCTGTTATTTACATTAAATTTAAAATTATGGGTTTAAGTACATGTGGGAGATAATCAGTCTTACTCTTGAAATAACTGATTTATATGATTGCTTCCAGGCTGTGTTCTGCAATGATGTTTTGTTCTGCCATTTTGATGGTGTTAGTACTGTTCTTGAAAAGTACTCTGAAGGCTCTGTACTCCCTTTACAGCCACATATGCTTAGTTATTATTCACTCTTCCTTTGTTAACATTTTCTTTTATGTAAATATGAATGTCCCAGTATGACCAGAACAGCCCTACGGTCCAGGGACCATTTTGGCATGCTGATATATGTATCTCTAGGTACATAGGTCTGTTATCACAAAATCAAAATTTTACTTTTCAGCCTTTGATTTCCTAGCATAAGAGGATGAAAATCTTAATTTTCCTGTTTAATAAGTGCTTCTTAGCTCACAGTTGCCAAGCCCTACCAGTAGCCATGTTCAGTGCCACTTTTACCTTTGAGTCACCTCTCTTGAATGTCACTCTCAAGTGTTCACATGTGCTTATGTCTCTGGTTTGTACAATGGCACCATCTCTAGTGTAACTATTCAGGGTTACCTTTTGTTTTACAGCTGCTCTGAATGTAGTAGCTCATAAACATTGGCTGGGGGAAAGTACATGTTGCAAAATTTCATTGGATAACAAACAAATGAGAGGAATGTTTAACGGCACTAATAACTGTTCAGATTTTTGTGGCATTTTCTCAGTCTTAGAAAACCAAATAGCAGTAGCTTTATATTTCTCATCAATATAAAAAACTAGAATAGAGGAAAAAAGATATTTTTTTTTTTTTTAATGTGATTCTGGCTTACTGTAATGCTTATACTTGTTTTGGTTCTGATTTTTAACCTTGATTCAGCAAAACTTTTGCCCTCCTAGCTTTATTTTGATGCTTCTGTTGGTGGAATTACACAGCAAAGTATGCAGTGTGAATATGTCATTGGACTTAAATGACTGTATTTACTTTGTTAGTAAAATATGTATCAGTGTATTATAGCTCTAGGTTGCAAATATGAACATCTGCTTGGATTCCATCTTGAGCAAGTGACTTACAAAAGGGTGTTCTGGGTCTCAGTGGTTGATAAATATTTACTGTATGAGAAAACATTACTCTGAGTTATAATTTCATATTAGCAGGTAGTTATGGAAAACTTCTCTATGTAAACCTGTACACTTCCTCCTATGTATTTTGTAACCAGATTGCACTTTTGTTTTACAGCTGCTGCAGAGGGCAAAGGGAAAAGTGGGGAAGACTTTTTTCAGAAGGTAAGAAAGATATGAAATCCTGTAACATCGGTTGACTAGAGAAGAAATTTACACCCATTGCTCATTCATGAGCAACTTAATGTGTGGTTTCCATTGTATTGATCAAATTCCAAAAATGTTTTTGTCATATAATGTGTCTATTAACCATCAGCTGTGCATGGAATGGGATGGAAAATATTCTCTGGTGTATGCTACTGTCATGCATGCACAACGACTTAATTCTTTTTTAACTGAAATGTCAAAATATATGTTATGAAAGTTTATTTTCCTTAATAGCAGGGGGTTCATCCGGAAGAGGAGATGGTCTTAAGGTTTTTATGATATGGATAAACACTGCATCCTGTTATTGAAAAACTGGCATAAAACTTATTGTGATATTGTGGAAAGCATAAATATTTGGTTGAGAAATACGAAAGCCTTTTAAGAAAGAAATGCACAATCCACAGAGTGATTCAATAAAGTTTGTGGTTAGACAGAGGCACGGAATGACTGGAAAAAATAGTCCTGCAGCAGCTAAGCTACAAAGAGAAGCATGGTCAAGAGCAATGGCTTCAAAATTAATTTTGCAAAGCAATATGGTTTTGGTGTTGTGGGGTTTTTTGTATGGTGGGTGTCCCCCCTCCCCCCCAAGAATAGTGTGTAAAATATTATTCATTAGTTATGTTAATGAAGATCTGCATACAGTATGCTAATAAAAATTATGAGCTGCTTTGTCTCTCTTGCCTGTAGAGAAGACTTTATAAATGTTTGTGCTTTACACTGAAATGCCTTGAAACTCCTTTTTGATTGGTTGACTGTTAAACTTTGCTGTGTTTTCCATGTTTTTTTCGTATTTGTAAGTGGTACTTCAAAAAAGGTGTCTCTTTCGGTAAGAAAGAATAGTTTGTCCTGCACATGGTTATCAGATGCTTTGATGAATGCTAGTGGGGAGGAGTATGTATGCTGCTGAAATGTTTGGTTTTTTTGAAATATTTGGAGAAATCTTCAGATGATGTTGGTTTTGACTGACAATGAGAGTTATTTTTCTAAACACGATGCTTGTGCTTCACTGTCTAATATTAGCATGTGCAGAGAAGAATGTTAATAATTTTTTCTTGGGATTTTGAGAATGCATGGAGTTTTTTACTTGCTGAAACAATGTGAAGCCATAGTAGCATATACTTCATTCTACACATCATTTGTTTTACAACAGTGTTTTCTCACACTTGTATAAATCTGCTTATAGTTCTTGAAACTGTGGGTAAAATATTTCCTCTGTGTGAGACTGAGTGACTTACATATTTGATGTGTATTTGAATACTTGATTATTTACTGTAGGTATGATGCATCTGACAGTTATGTACTTACTAGTGTAATAGCAAAAGATTGTTTTGATTTTAGGGGGGAAGCAAAATGCGCTAAGCTTCAAGTATGTGAATAAGAGTATGCTACTTATCCATATTGATAATAGATGTAGTGTCTATTTTGGCATTAATGTGTTGTCATACATGTGCATGGTTAGTGTATGGGCACAAGCTGGATGCAGTGATAGGTTAAAGCTGATTCATTTTGACATTCTTTGTACAGTCTCGTCAACTCAATAGTTTAGATTGCAGAAGTTTGAGTGCATACACACAATGCTAATAAAACCAGATGGAAACTATCTTCTTTGAGAGTTTTCTTGTTTAAAAAAAAAATCTTTGGACAGTTGCTCATAGCTTACTCACTGTCTGTCTGTGCAATTTCCTTTAATCAGAATTAAGCTTTTTCCTTTTTCATGTGAAATGAGTAAGGCAGAATTTCTGGAGGTAGAATGAAGACCCTTTTCATGTGTTTCATGTTGTCTAGTGAGGAAGAAAGTGATTTGTGCATTAGAAACACAATGCAAACTGAGGCAGCAAGATGCTTTCAGAAAATTAATATGAATTTGAAGCTATATTAAATGCATTTTTTAAAATAGTTTTGAAAATGAGACTTCAGGGTATTATTGGCAGTCTTTGGAGTGGATTGTGGAGGGGAAGTGCATTATTTCAGAGGCTCATCAAGGACTGAGGATGTAATTTGTGTAAATAATGCCATGTTTAGTATTTTTTGGCAAACTTTACTCTCAATGTGTTGAAGATATTATGTGGAAGCGGTGTGTGAAGTGAAAGAAGTTTCCATGTGAATGCTTGAAATGACAGAAGAAACAAGGCAAAGATTCAGGAAGGTGATTCTGTATATCAAGACATGCAGACCAAGAGGGAGGAGAGAGGAGACTGGTTCTGAAGGGAGTGAGACAATGCTGACTTCTTGCAGATGGCTCTGTAAAAAGTGGCTTCTGGGTCTTGCTTGCTGGCTGGTCAGTGGGGAACAGTACTCAGTTTTTTATTAGCTTGTCCTCAGGAGGAAGAAAAATTGCTCACATGTTCTCTGAGCTGGGCTCAAAATTAGGAACTCAGCCTAGATTGTTAAGCATACATACAGTATGCTCTAATGAATCTGTCATGCTTTTGAAGAAAGGAAAGTTATTACAAGGGTTTGGTGCTAAGTAGTCTTTTACTAGTCTTCTAACGTGAGCAAGCAGTATTACTTTTGATTTTCATAATCAAGCATACTCTCAGTGGATGGGAACTGCCTGCATCAACTTTTATCTTTTGAAATTTAATAAAATAATTTAAATGTCAAAATGCATTATTTACCTGAGCATTTTAGCTCTGTTCTGTACTTGCTGGTGGAGTTACAGAATAAGCCCCAGTTCTTAGCTGCAAATGGGAAATCAAGCTAATATTTCTGCCCTGTCATGGCAGGGAAAATCAAGTGATGAAGTGCCAGTGTCTTGAGCCAGCATCCATTTTCAGTTGACGGTGGAATTTTTCCATTGAGTTCTGTAACATCTGGTTCACACCTCATAGGCAAGCAAGGCCCTTCACAGACAAAGGCAGGACATTGCTCCAAGGAACATATAATTTATGTAGCCCTATAGATATGCATGGCACTCTTACATAAAATGTAAGAAGGTGGTGGGTTTTTGCCCTTAAGAGTTCATAATCCTTAACAGATGAGGGTTGGCTGTGTGGACAGAGGGGAATTAAATGCATCATTCTGTTTGCTTTTAGTTCTTGTGTCATGAAGTCTTCTTTTAACTCCTAAACACTTGGAAGTCTTAGTGCAGCTGATAACTTTTCATTCAGCAATTTTACAGGGCAAGCATCTAGCCTTATGGGACTGTCAACAATATAGGGGGCGCTAGTTGAACGTTGTGGGGTTAGAAGAAATTGGGTGGACTTCTTGCACTAATGTGGTACTGCATGTGCAGCGAGTAGTGATTGGAAATGGTGCACATGGGGTACTCTGCCCAAGTGCTTGACTCTAGATCAGATGTAAGCTTGCTTCAGCATAATTCACTGTGTGTGTTAGGTATGGGTGGAATCTTTCTGAAGGGGTACCTCGGTTGTTCTTTTCCTGGCTTTCAAGAGTACATTTTCAGAGTTTGGTCTTGAGAAGCACAGTATACTACCAGCCAGCTGTAATTTGTGGGATTTATTGTTTCTGAATGTTCAAGATTTAGGTTTTGGGGGTTTTGTGTGGGTTTTGGGGTTTTTTTTGGGTTTGGTTCCCCCGCTCCCTGGAGCTTTTTTGTTTGAGTTTTTTTGTTTGGTTTTGGTTTTGTTAATTATAATAAATATATATTTAAAAGTGGTGTTTGTAGGAATATATTCATTTGCATAGTTGCAGATACCTAAGTTTTTTTAAGGTATCACTGGATTTATGCAAGATGTGTGTTTAAATGCCTGTGCTTCTCTTGATTGCCGACTTTGTTATTCCCAAAGGGGATGTAATCATGCTTGGAAGTATGAAGATGCAAATGGACAAATGTTGCATATGTGTACCAAAATCTCTTCTGTTACATATTAGGAGCTTAGAAGTGTAAAGAAAGACTAAGATTTTCTTAATTTCTTCTTCCTGTCCTTACATGTAACATGCTTCATCTGCAGCTTCTTATTTTATTAAATGAGTAGTACGATAAAAGATAGTGAGGTACCTTCCATTTTGGAAGCAATATTTGGTGAAACCATCCTTTAAAATGATTTGTTTCCAGTATAGATATTGGAAGCAGTAGTAGTAAGAGATTTAAAAATAAACAAAAATCCTAAACAAAAACAGACAAAAAAATTTGCAATTGTTTGAAGAAAAAAATAAGTATTTCTAATTGCATCTTTAACCAACTTTCTGTTAAATAGCTCCTCTGCATGCAGTAATTATAAATGGATGTATATTACCTTTATTTGTTTAGGAGGCTCTGTCATGAAAGGCAGTAAGGAAACTCCCTCAAGGCCTGTTTGTTTATCTAATACAGTAAAAGAGCTTGTTTTGCAACATCCTGTGTTTCCACTTGTATCTTTCAAAGAGGCCTAAGTTAAGTAACCTTGTAACTTCTGGAAAATCCTATGTGAGAATATATTGATACGGTGTTTATGTATACATGAATGTTTTTGTGCATATAGAGAATACGTACTGATACAAATGTAACCAATTGTATTTCTCTGTCTTCAGTAGGTCAAGCTGAAAGTTGGTCAGTCTTCCTTTACAATCTCTGAACATGAAACATGTACGTAGAGCTTCAAATGTGAATGGTTTAGGGCATTTTGAAGCATAAAACGTATTAATCATTGACTGGGGACTAAGATGTCTCAGGCTAATTATTATCCATGTTCAGCAGTAACTTCTGAAGGGCTTTCCATGTGTCTTCATCCATGACTTCTCTCCAACTGCCTATTTATAATTATAGTTTCCCTAAGGCTATATTCCCATTTCTGATGGCAACAGTTCAGCTATCAGTTTCTTCTACCGCTATTTATCTTGCTAGTGAGACATAGTGAGTTCATGGTTATTACACGTTATCATGGGGTTTGTCTCTGTTTCAACCACAAGAGCAATTTTGAACTGCAGAAACTGGTTCCGCACTTTCTACTTTTTCCAGGTAGAAATCAGTATCCACGTTAGCATTAAAATAATCTCTTGATGTAGAGTTTGGCTCA